AAAAAAAAAAATGTGCAAAATGATGTGAAAATAAACTTTGTAATAAAAAAAAAGTTGAAGTTTAAAGTAAGTTAACTAAAACTGGAAAAGGTTATGTCAAAATCATTTAGAGTTTGCTAATGGAGGAGGCAGGGAAAACCAAATTCTCATATTAATTCATTTTACACCATCATGATAGTTTTTCATAATTTCTTGTTCTAATTTAACTGAAATTTTCTTGCTGATACATTCTTTAGGAGCCATGGTTACAGTTTAGTATATTTTATACAATTCAAAAACAACCACTTGTGTGAAAGGATACATAAAGGTCAAGGAAAAAATTTCTTTATTTCACTAAAAAATAATTGTGAACCTGTGTCAATCAATAGAATAAATGTATCTGTGATTGGCTTGTATGCTGACAATTATTCCAAAGCCTTACCCACAAATGTTCTACCCACATGGACTAGTTGGTGGTAACTGTGACTATTAAATGATAAAATGATTCATATTTTAACAGGAAGGATTCATCATTACAACGGTGATTACTATAGATAAAATAGCCCCTACCATTCTTATAAGAGTCAATTCACTTATCTAATGTCTACGCATTTCCACATAGATATCTCAAAAGCAGCTTAACATTTGTTCTTTATCTTTTACATTGTTTTTTGCTCATAAAATCAATCCACAAACATATACACACACAAACAATTCCTTTGTCCCTTACACCCTAAGTACAATTATAAACTTGTTTACACATTCAAAATATATCTAGACTCTGTAACCACTTCTCAGCACCTCCACTACTAATAACTTGGTAAAAACCACCTTACATTATTACCTTCCTAAAATATTTCAGTAGCCTGCTACCTGGTTCTTATCTGCTCTCTAGAAAACCACCAAAGATCTTTTAGAAATGTAAGGCAGATCATGTCACTCTATTATTCTTAATGACTCTGTAATGGTTTCACAAAACACAATCATCCATAGAATAAAAACAATCCTAACTTGGCCTACAAGCTCTACCAACATTATCTGGCCCCTGGCCACCCTCTACACCATATCACATTACTCCTGCTACATTGTTTTGTTTAATGAGCCTTAATCATACACTACTGCCTTAGGGCCTTAAGAGTCTTCCAATCTCTCTGCCTGGAATGTTCCTTCCAAGAAATTCACAAGGTTTGCTCCCTCATTTGTATCAAGTAGAACATCACCTAGCAGTCTGAACATCACTCTACAAGCAGGTTTTTGTCCACCACCCTACATGAAATGGCACTTCTTCATGAATATTTTCTATCATTATAGCTTTACAAGCTGATATACTGCATTAATAGCCCCAGACTCCTTTTTTTCCCACCTACCTTATATTTTACATTCCCACCATTTCCCTTAGTGCTGTCCTCCCAAATTTTCAGAGCTTTTTCCCTTTCATTATCCAGAGTACCAAAAAGCCCATCTCCATAAAAAGTATTAGGACAAATCAAAAATTAGAATTTTAGCTCTTTCAATAACATGACCTTACCTTCAAACTACTAAATACTACCTACCATTCCACGACTTGAAGTGCTCAACAACAACTTCTTCTAATTTCTTTAACTTTGGATGACTATAGAAAAATTTATCTTTATCGCCTGCAAAGAAAAAAAAAATTTTATTTTTCCATATTCAATGACACTAATGTAACTGATCTTTTTCAGGCTTTGTTAAAACTTTTTTTTTTTAATTTAATGTCATTTAGAGAATCTAAACAAGAATCAGCAACAAAGAAGAAAGAGGAAAATTCATATACAGTTAAGTTATAAATCAGGTTTTAGTAGTTCTGAGAATTTTTACTATCAGTAGCAGTAACATGTAGCATGCATTTGAAGCTTACAAACTGCTTGAAAATATAGTTACCCTAACTTAGAAAATGTTTAAGCATACTAGGTTTGTTCCTACAAAAATGTAAATTAATTATAGACAAACAAGTGAATCAGGGAAGAAAATTTCAAAATGACACCCTGATGACAATAAACAACATAAAATTTTATAAAAGAAACCAGACCTTTTGGGATAGTAGAAATGCCACCTGCAGAAGCACTGCGTGTATGTACAAACATGCGCTCCAGATGATTATATAGTTTCATGAACTCTTCATTTCGGCTAAGTTCATTTTTTGCCCGAGTCATTCCTACAGAAATTAGAAAGAGGTTTTTCAAATAAATGCATTCAATAGGAAAACTAATTGAATTTATTAAAAAGAAATAAAGTTTTAATAAGGCATCAAATTTTTCAAATGTAAATATGAAAAGCAACAACTTTTCCAGTCCTACTTATGCATTATGTATATTAATAAATGGCTTGCTTTTTTTCCCTAGCATTTATGAAAAGTTCATAGAAAACACAGGGTTCAGTTCACATTGCTTGATGTCACATTAAGAGCCCATCCCCGGGCCCCCCTGCTGGCCCAGGGGTCTCAGCACTATCACTTCTTACATAACTATTTCACTGCCTTTTAAAGTAAAATTTTTACATAACCCATGCTATTCAAAATATCTTCAACTAAAATAATGTCATTATTATATCATTATTTCTTTAAATAATTCCATATAACTTACCTTTACTTCCATCCATAATTCCACAAAGGAATAAATATAATGATCTCATTCCCATTTGCTGCAGTAATTCATAACCATGATATAAACTAATACAAATCGCAAATTCTCCCTCAATTATGCCTTGTTGTATTCCCTAGAAGAACAAACATATATCAAGTTAATCACAAAAAGAAATGAAGATATCTTTTTCAATAAATTTAATGGTTCTATTAATCATAGGATATTGCTATGAAAAGGTATCAATGTATTTGCCATATAAAGTCTGCTTTTTTTCCCTTATTCAACAGGAAACTTACATTTTAAAGAGATTAAATAAAAGGGGAAATACTGACCTTTCCTGGTGGCACAGTGGGTTGAAGCACAGCACTAAAAAGCTAAAGCAACTTCCACAGGAGTTCCATCCCTGCCTGCCCCGGAAGTGATCCACATGGCCGGCAGACCTCTCCTGGCCTGCCCGCTGCTCCCCTCAACAGTGTACTTTGGTGATCTGCCTGTTCGTTCCCCACTCTGTCTCTGGTGAGTCCTCTCATCGCCCCTGCACCTCTGGCCTGTACCCCAGTTCTATATGAATAATCTTTAAAAAGATTAAAAAGGGGGAAATATTTATCATACACAGCTCCTCTTATTAGCAGTATATAAATGCTTTTATTCTCTCAAAACGATTTACAAGCACTATAGGTCTAGCACTAAACTAGGTATTTGGGATATAATGGAAAATAACTCAGATATCCTCATAAATGTTACATGCATAAAGACAAATGGATATAATCAGACAGTTTAACTAACATAGATACAACACCAATTATATCTGCCATAAAACAGCTGACACTGAGAACCATAGTTCTAAGCACATGCCTCATACAAACTCACTTAATCTTCTTATGTATGAGGTAAATACTATTAAAACCATTTAGAGGTAAAAAAAAAAAATCTGTAGAGCCAATATTTGAACCCAGAAAATTAGGCCCGGAGTTCTTGTGCTTTTAACCACTAGACTCAAAGAAAAGTGAAATACACTTTCTTCTTATGTGAATATGCAACAGATGTATTGAGATAATAGAATAGTTTCAAAAGGAGACCATTGAGAATGTATTCTAATCATTTACCTTTATTCAAAAGACTATTTAGTCTTATGTTTTTAGTAGTATTAAACATTAGTGAAAATCATATATAATGTTTCCAAAATAGTAAAAAGTGTCCTAAAGTGGCACCCTAATCACTAAAGTATAAAACCACCTTTCTGTAAAATATAAACTCTTATCAGTAAGATCAATTTCAACAGCTTTAGATTACCTACTTAAAATTTCAATGAATCTTTAATTCCTACCGGAAATTAAAACATTTCTTGAAATTTAGCATAATACAGTGTAATTTCATAGAAAGTTTCTGTGAGTAGAAAACACTGGGTAAAGTCCACACTGCTTGATGATGTCACATTAAAAAACACCCTCGTCTTAATTTGTTCAAAAACAAATTAAGGAGGCCTCCTTGGTGATTTAGGTGTTAAGTCTCAGCACTATCACTGCTACAGCCTGAGTTTAATCCCCAAACCAGGGAGCCAATTCACATATAGTGCAATTGATCTCTCCTGTCTTGCCCACTGCTCCCCTCAGCAGTATATTTCAGTACATCTGCCTGTTCTGCTCCCCACTCTGTCTCTGGTGAAGCCTCTCGCCACCCCTGAGCCTCTGGCCTGTACCCCAGTTCTGTATGCACAAATAAAAAAAAATATTAAAAATGACACTTTCTCAAACCTCAGTTTCAAGAGGTAAGATAAAGGCTCTAGATCTAAAAAGTTAATTATAATCTACCCTATCATGGCCCTTTGACTAAGTCACATATAAAAAATTAAAATACCAATTATTTATTAAAAGCTACAAGAGAGGCCCTCCCTGGTGGTGCAGCGGGTTAAAGCACAGCACTGAGAATCTGAAGCCACTTCCGCATGAGTTCGATTCCCGCCTGCCCCGGAGGTGACCACATGGTGTGGCAGACCTCTCCTGACCCACCCGCTGCTCCCCTCAGCAGTGTACTTCGTCGATCTGCCTGTTCTGTTCCCCTCTCTGTCTCTGGTGAAGCCTCTCACCGCCCCTGAGCCTCTGGCCTGTACCCCAGTTCTGTATGCACAAATAAATAAATCTGTAAAAAAAAAAAAAAAAAAAGCTACAAGAGAGTCTCCCTAGTGGCCCATGGGATAAGTCTCAGGGTTACCATCATGTGGTCAAAGCAGCCTGGTTCCATCCCCGGGCAGGGAGTTAACCCACATGGTGCAAAAGATCTCTCCTATCTTGCTCAGTGTTCCCCTCAGTTTTTCTATGTATTATGTAAACAAAAATATTACAATAAAGGAATAATTATTTTTTTAATATTAGAAGATAAATTTATTTTAATTCAAATTATTGAAGGGCGTTCTTGCTAGATTTTTTTCATGCTTCCATAGATTATAGAAACCATAAGTTAATGGTTTGGCTAAGTTAACTTAACCATTAACCATTCCTCTTATGTGAATATGCAACAGATATATTGAGATGATAGAATAGTTTCAAAAGGAGATCATTGAGAATGTATTCTAACCATTACCTTTATTCAAAAGACTACTTAGTCCTTTGAACTCTTAAGTTAATTAATACCAAAAAACAATCATTATTTACATTTCATTCTGGCTGTAGGTAAAGCTTTGTAGTCAAAATGTGTTTTAAAAGACTTACCACAATATTAGGAGATGGGTTTTTCCTAAACTGATCTCTTGCTAAAATTATCTGGTATTTTGTTAGATTAGGGATATCTCTTCTCATCAAAATATTTCTCTGAATCAAGGAACTGGCAAATGCTTCCAAGATCTGTAAATTTCAAAGAAATTTAGTTTAAGCTAGTTTTATTAAAGAGTTTTTAGCAAATACAATAATTTTCCTCACTTAGAACAAGAATTACATATTAGATATGTCTTAAAATAAAATTTTAAGTAAACAGAAAAGGAAAGTAAATGTAATTAGGAAGTACTTGGGATTTATCCCCATATAACAGAGTCAATATAAGCAATTATTAGACTTAACTAATAAAGTGGACAGAGTCACTTTAAATAGTCACTTTTAATATGTCTATTACGAGAGGTTCTGAGGACACCCCAGTTACAGGAAATAACAGACACAAGGTTAAGATTGATGACTAAATGAAAACACCCAGATGAACACCTACTACACCAATGCATAATTAAATTTTACCTAATATAGTCCAAATAGAACTATTTTAGTACATTTCCCCTCTTTTTCAGCTTTGCTAATCACACTGCCTAAACACCTATAAAAATATCAACAAAATTATAATTATACATGTGATTATACAAATTATAATTTTTATTCTTGTAAAGTATAATAACGACAAGTTAGTTAGTATTAAATAGATAATTACTGAGATGTCATACCTTAAATTAGTAGTGTTGAGACTTCTGTTACAAATCATAAAAATAAAAAAACAAGTCATAGTCCTACAGAAAGAACTTCTCTTTCAGAAAGAAATTAAAGATGTAATAATAGATGAATATTTTTGCTATCATTTCTTGCATAAAAAATGACTTTCAAACATTATAGATTAATGATTTTTTTTCACTCATGATTCTGATTCTGTGGGTAAGAATTCAAGATCACTGGTTGGAGCTAGGTGAAGTCACATGACAGAAACACTGAGCATACCAAGTGTTGAATGCATACAGTTCTTGGCTTTTAAATACCATTCTTACATAAAGGAAAGAATAATATCTTAAATAATGACAGATTCCATGACTGGGACACAAAAAATATTTAATGTGTAGAAAATATCTTGTGATGCCAGAGAGTTAGGGAGAGCTTAAAAAAGGAAAGAGATGCAGACACCATCTTAAAGGACTACCCAATGGTCAATGTTTGAATAATTTATGCAATAAAATGAACAACAGCACTTGACTGTAACCCACAGGGAAAAAATATCCATAGTCTTTATTGATATAAATATTGGAATAAATAAATGGGGGAAAGAAAAAAAATAATTATAGAAAAATTAAAATTAGAAAGTGTAAAAGGAAAGAAGAAATAATAATTAGGCAAACATCACAGAAATTATTGTTGCAGGCAAGAACTAACACTGTAGGAAAAAGTGGTTTACCTGGGTATATGCCTTTTGGATGGCTGCAAGCTCTTCACCAAGAGGAACAACCAACTTTTCAACACTTCTTTCATGAGAGTAAGGCAAAATATCTGGAGAATCTTCAGCGCGAAGTTCTATCTGCCCAATTAGCAGGTTAGTAACAACTTGTTGCACAGCCTACATCAAAAGCAATTAAGTATGATATTACAAGTTAAATTTTTTCAGCTTAAGTCACTAACAAATAAAACCAGTAAAATTTCAAAACATTAGAATATTTAATAGTTTAAAAAATGTTATATTAGAAGTGACACAGTGACACATAAAGATTTTGAAACATCGCTTCCACAGTCCTTCTGAAGTGAAAGAACAAAGCACTGAAAACTTTAAGACACTACTTCAAAAATTGAAGAACAACAACAAAAAATGGAGATAGCCAATGCTCAAAGATTTAAAGATTTAACATTACTAAAATTTTATCTAATTAAATGAATATATATGTGTGTGTATACATGTGTATGTATATCTGTGTAAGTGTATACACACATACACACACACAACAAAGCCTATAAAATTCCACTAAAAATGGTGTTTTTCAGAAAAGTAGAACAAAAAAAAATCATAAAATTTATTTGAAATTATGAAAGACCCTGAATAGCCAAAACAACACTAAGGAAAAATATAAAAATGAAGATATCATGCCCCTTGGCTTAAAATTATACTACCAAGATACAGTGATCAAAAGAACACAGTATTGGAATAAAAACAGACACACAGATCAATGGAACAGAATTGAGAGTCCAGAAATAAACCCAAAGTAATTTAGGAAAAAGGAGCAAAGAATAAACAATGCAGAAAGGAAAGTCTCTTTAATAAATGATGTTGGGAAAAATGAGCCACATGCAAAAGAAAGAAATTGGACCACTATTTCACAGCATAAAAAAAAAAATTAATACTCTAAGTATTAAAGACTTAAATATAATACATGAAACCATAAAATACATAGAAAACCAGATGATAAGCTCTTTGACATCAGCCTTAGTGATACCTTTGTGGATGTATCTACAACTGCTCAGGAAATAAGAGCGAAAGTAAACAAGTGGGATTACTTCAAATTTTTAAAATTCTGTACAGTGAGGCCCTCCTTGGTTGCACAGCAGGTTAAAGCACAGCACTGAAAGCTAGCCACAGTAGCTTCAGTGTGAGTTCGATCACCTGCCCCAGAGGTGATCCACAAGGCATGGCAGCTGCTCCCCTCAGCAGTGTATTTCGTCAATTTGCCTGTTCTGCTCCCTACTCTGTCTCTGGTGAATCCTCTCACCACCCATACACCTCTGGTCTGTACCGCAATTCTTCATGCATAAATAAACCTTTTAAAAAAATTTCATACAGTAAAAAGAAACCATAGTTTCAAATGAAAATAGTACGTACTGCATGGAAAAGACACTTTTAAATCATATCACATAAGGAGTTAATATCCATTTATCATGAACTCATAAAATTCAATAACAAAATAATATGCAACCTGATTAAAAAGATGGGCAGAAAATATGAATAGGTGTTGTACAAAGATACAATATTGTCATTAGGCACATAAAAGATGTTCTTCATCTTTTACTCTTACTGAAAAGCAAATCAAAACCACAATATCACTTTGCACAAGAAGTAAGTAAGTTTTGGTGAAGATCTAGAGGAAAAAACAGAATCTAATACATTATTCATAGGAATGTAAAATGATGCAAGCGCTATAGAAAGAATGGCTTCCTCCCTCTTTCCATTTACAAATCTCCATTGTGAAAAATGTTTTTCTCACTGTAACTGCAAGCTACTTTGAGACTATGAAAATATTATATTTTAGCGTCCCATGATTGTTCTTGCTTACAATTATTTCTTACAATTATTTGCCTAATCACTGTCTTCTCTTTCTCTTAAATCTTTATATGTTAATATCTTCTGTTATGGGTTCTTCTAAACAAGACACTTTCCAATATAGAGTTGCCTCCAAAAATTGAAAAGAGAAATAACATGTAACCTAGATACCCCATTTCTGTGTATTTATCCGAAGCATGCAAAAGCACTTCAAAGACATAAACGTGATCTATGTTCATCACAACATTATTTGCTGAAGCCAAAAGTTTAAACAACCTAAGGACTCATGAACAAATGAGTAGATAAAGGCAATATGGTATAAATACACAATAAAATATTATGCAGCCATAAAAAGGTAAAATCCTGACATCTGCAACATGTATAGACTTAAAAGGTATTATACTAAGTGAAATCTCAGACACAGAAACACTGTAATTTCACTCATGTGGTAAATAAACAAATGAATGAATAAACCAAACAAAACAAAACTCAAAAAATAGTTAACAAAAGGAAAAGAAAAGCAGGACAGGTAAACTGGATGCAGTGAATTAATTGAAACAGAATATTTACAGAGTCTCAAAATATCTTGCCCATAAACAATAATTACAATGAGGAAAACACTACTTTTATAGTGGAGAACCCAGGAAGGCAGCACTTTAACCAAGTCTAGGTTAATAGCACCAGTAAGACAAAGCAACATTATGTTTTCTCTGATACAATGTTCTGAGGAAAGTACAGCCTCACTTCCAGGGTATTCTTGCCAAAAATGTGTAACCTCATTCCAATTGTGAGAAAACTTCCAGACAAACCCAAACTGAGGCATATTCCACAAAATAAATGGCACTTATTCTTCAAAAATATCATGTCAGTGAAGACCAAAAAATAAACACTAGGAACTGTCTAAACAGGAGACAGGAAACCAAAAGCAAGATAGGATTCTAGATTGGTCCCTAGAGCAGAAAAGGACAATGGTGGGAAAACTGGCAAAACTGATCTGCAGATCAATTACTAGCCTAGTATTAATGTTAATTACCCAGAGCATTTTACTGTGATTGTATGAAATGTTAACATAAGGGAAAGCTGAGTAAAGGCTATATAGAAACTTCAGTTTTTGCAAATTTTCTGGAGGTTTAAAGTTACTTCAAAATAAAAATCAGAACTCAAAACAAGAACAATTTAAAAAACACTTCTGTTATTCAAAAAAAATAGTACTTTCAATAAACAGCTCTAGGTGATTCGTATACAATGAAGTCAGAAAACTACCAGTAAGTAAAACTTCTATAATCATAAAAGATAAGGTTGGTATGTTGTAGGAAATGGTGTAGTCCTAATGTGGAACTAAATATTAAAATGGAAAATTGGTCTAGCCATATACAAGAGTTATTTTCACAAATGTTAATAGGTGGAAAGACATTTTACTTACCTTCATATCACTTCCAGGTGTAGCACTTAGAGCCAAGATTCTAAAGTGATTTGTATATTTGACTAGTTCTCTTACAACCTTAAAAAAAATAATAAAAAGAAACCTTAATTTCACCAAATCAATTCACAAACATTGTCTTGTTTGTAATATATAAAAGCACTATTAAGCTATTATGTTTGGTACACTATCATTATTCCTTATTCAAAGCACTAGTAAAATAGTAGATAAAAATATTATTAGACATATATGAAGAGCAAATGACTTAGCGTTATATGCTATACCAGTCAAAAAAATCTTAGGATTTCTTCTATATGTAGACTTCCAATATTAAGGCCTAATACAGAGGCAAATCAAAATATTCCGAGGGTTAATTCAAGGGCAATTGAAAAAAAGTCCACTCTCTATTACATTGTCACAGTGTAGATTGATGGCTATATGATTCACACACATATTTGCCAGACTGATTAATCATAACACCAAGAATAGAATAAAAGATTAAACACAGTATAAAATTATATTTGTAAAGGAAGAAATTATTTTAGGAAAGATTTTAGTGAAGTTAGATATCAAATGGAACTCAATCTTTAAATTTATTCATAAAAATAAGGCTACAAATCTGAAGAATTACTTCTTAAGTGTAATATTTTCTATCTTGTTTAGAGAAGTGAAGGCTCAAAATAATAAAAAAAAATTCTATTAAGAAAGAGAATATGGCCCTTCCTGGTGGCACAGCGGGTTAAAGCACTGCAGTAAGAAGCTTAAGCCACTTCCGCATGAGTTCCATTCCTGCCTGCCCCAGAGGAGATCCACATGGCGTGGCAGACCTCTCCTGACCTGCCCACTGCTCCCCTCAGCAGTGTAT